ACCCACCACCCGTCGCCCTTGGGGGGGGGGGGAGGGGTTCACAGGACCCTGAACCCCCTATACAGGTTTTTAGTCTCCTTCCTCTATGCTGCCCCATACTCCGACCTGCCCAGCTCCCAGGCCCTGCCCCCCAGCCAGGTGGCCGTCTCCATCTCCCTTCCTTTGTCTCTCCCCTGGGAAGAGCCTTGTTATCTGCTTGAGCTGGGAGTAAGTGTCTGGGCCAATACTCCCCTGGGAAGAGCCTTGTTATCTGCTTGAGCTGGGAGTAAATACTTGTAAAGCAGGAGTGGGGAACTTTTTTTTTGGATCAGGGCTGCTGACACAGAAAAATCAGTTGGGCCCAGGCTAAGTAGATTTTGGCTCCTGCCCCAAGCAGAGGGAGGGGAATATTAAGGAGGGGGCTAGAGTGCCAGCTTGGGCTCCCCAATGCTGAGGGGGGGTGGGGGGGACGGGCCCTGAGTTTCGAGGGCTGGATCCAGGCAAGCTCCTGGGCCTAAGGTTCCTCAACCCTCCTCTAATCTGAAGTTGCTTTAGCTCTCTGTTTACTGGCCAGCAAGAATACCCCCGTGGTTAGTTCATAGGATGTGATGGTTAACCACTGAACCCTCACTCAGTAAGGGTAAGGCTAACTGGTAGGGATGGTCGGAGGAGTCCCAGTTCATGGCAGGGTGTGTCTGGCCCGCCTGCCCTCTCCTCTCCACTGCAGGCAGGGGCTGCTTTGACCAGCCAGCTGGAGCAGCTTTTGTCTGCAGCGGGGATGGGGGCGCTCCAGCTCCGCCAGCCACCATTCAATCAGTTAACCAGTCGAACAATGTTGAACCAGTTAACCTACTCAACGGGATTTTACATCTCTAGTGCACATCCCTTGAAAGCACTGCTTCTCCTATGTAGGGCAGCAGACAATAGGGACCCAAAGATCATATTCATCCTATCCCTGTTTGGTGCACCTCTGGTTAACCCCATTCAAATAGTACCAAGCAAAACCAAGCATCAATGAAGGAGCACATACCTTGGTGGTTGAGGTGACTTAGGTTTTGGTTTTTCTTTTTCCTTTTCACGTTCCCGCTCTCGGTCCCGGTCTCGATCTCTGTGCTGTCTGTCTTTTTCGTCTCGTTTCACTCGCTCCCTCTCTCTCTCCCACTCTTCTTTCCGTCGCTGCCGCTCCTTATCCCGTTCCCGCTCCCTCTCCCGTTCGCGTTCTCTCTGGCGGCGCTCCCGTTCCCGTTCTCTCTCGCGTTCCCGTTCCCGCTCCCGTTGGCGGCTCTCTCGCTCCCTTTCCCGTTCTCTCTCTCTTTCCTTGTGTAAAAACCCAAAAGAAATTTGATCAGCATTGCTGTGGGGCTCTCTCCTGACTAAGGACAGCATCTCAGATTCAGAACAGTTTCTCCAGCTC